CACCACTGCCCTATCTACGTTAGACTTGACACATTTCAAGACACCTACTTTCCTGCTTTTCTCAATGTCAAAGAAGCGGGGAAACCAGACCTGCTTTTCTCCCGTCAAGAGCTTCGTCAGGAGTACAGGAACCGCCTCCAATTCGCTCTACTAAACGCAGTGCTGCTTAATGTTATGGTTATCCGCGAAGGAGGTATTAACGAAGAGGACCAGGTAAGCTTTTCGGAATCTGTGAGAGAAATCTGAGAATCATCTCGTATCGAGGTCATCATTACTGCGTCCCAGATTACTTTCTATACTGACGAAATAATCGAAAATGGAATAATCAAATGAGTTTTAGTTGTTTGTATGCCCTCTGTCTATATCATCAATTTATTATTATTATCAATGCTGTTTGCATCATTTTGTAAAACTTTATAATCTCCTAACTGCACTGTGGATTAAAGTTGGATTTATTCTACAAACTACAGCATTTAAGAAATTTCTTTAAAAAAATATAATGGTACTTTTTATCACGATGAGTAACGCAGAAGAGAGAAGTTACATATAAACTCACATAAAGTAACGCAAATAAAGGATATTAGGAATGGAATATATTCTGAGTCATATTACGGAAAGATTGACTATTATAGTATTTTCATTACTGTATATACACCATACCTGTTGCCTGTTTTAATACCGTCACCATCTTTATCACGAAAAATGTGACACTGATTATATATTGAACGATAACAATGAAATGAAAGTAGCTCAAAGTTACCTTTCCTGTTAATATCATTATCTTTTTTGTGACATGTCTGCCATGTTCTGTTATCAATTTTGAACAAAAATGTTCACAGTAAAAGCATTCAGACTAATATGCAAGTTTGCACGTCAAAAATTGATCAAAAAGGGACAACAAAATGTTCATAATAATAATGTTAACAGCTTTGAGCGTTAAAAAAAAGTTCAGAAAAAGGCCTTCATTCTAATATGTAAATTTTCATGTCAAAGATTAGTCTCATATAGATGTTTTATTAATAATTCTCACTGTAGTACATTACTCTCTCTCCACATACAGCCATAAAATATGAAAATGTCTACATCATTAAATCAGCTGTGCTTTTCGAATTAAATGTACAATTAAGAAAATCATTTATCATGTAGTATCACATCTAAGCATAATTGGCACCGATTTTTTTCAGGGGGGGAGGCCAATAGAGTTTTTTGACTTTGCCTTATGAATTAATGATGTGAATAAACTAAAAATCAAACTGCATTGAAAGAACCTATAGGCAAATTGTTAATTGTTCAGCACCCCCTTCTCTCTCTCTATATATACACATACATCTATATATATGGGTATATATGTGTGTGTGTGCGCGTGTGTGTGGATACACATATACCTATGAAGGGATACATACAACATAAACATATATATATATATATATATATATATATATATACATATATATATATATATATATATATATATATATATATATATATATATATATATATACATATATATATATATATATATCAGAGTACAGCACAGTAAGGGAACACGCAAGACGGTGTCCTAGAGTAAGAGCTGAGCGCGGTGTCACGTGTCCGGCAGTCCAGCCCTGGGGGTCCGGAGGCTGGAGGTGACCTGCTCACGGGGACTTCTGGGAGCGAAGCGAGAGGTCACACATAATCGTCATCTAAGTCTTCGTTGGTGTGATGGTTTCTAAATTGACTTAGAGCCACGTGACAAACAGCCACGTGGTCTGTTGGTTTAATGGTACAGAAATCGGGCTTTTGTATGTGTCATACTCTCCCACCCCCTTTCTCTCTCTTTTTATATACACATACATCTATATATATGGGTATATATGTTTGTGTGTGCGCGTGGATACATATATACCTATATAGAGATACATACAACATAGACATATATATATATATATATATATATATATATATATATATATATATATATATATATATATATATATATGAATGTATATATAACAATCCTCCCTGACCTGGCCTCGAACCTAGGTCACTCCGGGTATGAGACCGGAGGGCCAGTACTAAACCAACCATGCCACGCGACCCTCAAAAGGAGTATGCAACTAGGATCTAACTAGCTCCATAGACATTACCTATCTACTCATACATGAATAATGATAGCGAGGTTTTACACACACTCCCCGTGGGCACTCGGTGGAAATTGATATGTATATATAACAATCCTCCCTGGCATTGCATTATTCCATCTTTCATATATATACCTCAGGATATCTGACTTCGGTTTCGAATTTCTAAATCAATTTCCACCGAGTGCCCACGGGGAGTGTGTGTAAAACCTCGCTATCATTAGTCATATATGAGTAATGATATGATGACGAAAGGTTATCATATATATACTGTATATATATTCCCATATATGAATACACATATATACATATATATGTATATATGTGTGCGAATATATATGTGTGTGTATTTGTATGTGTGTCTATGTGTGTATGTATGTGTGATTGTGTGTATATGTGTGAATGTGCATGTGTGTTTGTGTGTGTATGGTGTGTGTATTTGTGTGTGTGCAGGCTATACCTGTACATGTGTATACATATTTTTGCACACACACACATGCGTGCAAAACCACACACACAAACACACACGGATGAAATCGCACACACACGTATGCAAATACACACAAACATACAAACACACAAAGCACCAACTAAACAATGAGTTTCACTGGCAGACCTGCTTGTAGTTGCCTTGCTGGTTATGTTAAAGAATTACTTTCTTAAAAATGAACTGAATCGGGAAATGATGAGGAATTAAGTAGAGATGTCCTTGCAAAGCACTGAAGGTGTGAACGATGTCACACGATAGGATGTTTTTTCTTTTAGGTAATTTGGTCAACAAGACTTATTTCATAACTACCCAATCCCGATTTGACATAAAGTAGAAGGAACTTTCTTCGCAGGAGCTGTGACATCAAATATAAAATCTTATATCCCCCCCGTAAGTGGAGAATAATAGGTATAACGAACTAGCATCCAAATAGGGTATTTGGCATTGCGAGATGCAAGTGCCCGGCAGGAGCAGCATCGCAGTACAGTGCCATCCTGAGAGGCGTAAAGGTTTGTCTTCTGAGCCGAGTAAAAGTGAGTACGAGGTTCCTTCGCCCGGTTTCCTGTGTTTATTCTTTTCAAAAGAACTAGAAAAAAATGAAAAAAGAAGAAAGGCTTACGTGTAGTTTTAAGGACGTCGCATTTATCCTATATCCAATTTCTTTATTAGAGATTATGAGTGGATAACATAAGCTCAAACATACCTTTGTATGTGTGTTTATTATATATATGATGATGATATCATGGAAATAAATATATGCATATAACATAAACTGAAATAACATTAATATACTCTCCTTATTGGTTAAGTCTATTATCAAGTCTACTATTTGACCTCTTCCAGTGGAGACCGACGGCGCAGTGCCTGAATTCCGTCCGAGCGAGATCACGCAGGAGAGTGTCGAGGCGGCGCTCAAGAACGACAAGGGAAGCGACGCTCGCCTCGTCTCCTTCACGGTCCAGGAATGCACCAAGAAAGGAGACAACTACGCAACGCTTGTGGCCAGAGTTAATGTGCATTACACGCTCTGTGAAACTAACCATAATGTGTCTTATGTCGTCAAATACAATCCAAAACATTTTAAAGCGTTTGAAAAGTTTGCTTACGTGCTATATAAAAAAGAAGTAATGTTTTATCAGTATCTTGTGCATGATATTCAGTCACAACTGCAAGAAGCTGGTCAGCAACCATTGAGGGTTCCTCAGTGCTTCCACACGTCATTAGAAGAAAATCAAGAGGTTGTCATCCTCGAGGATCTCCGGCCAAGAGGATTCAAGATGTTCGACCGCAAGAAAGGCATGGACGTCGCCCACACCAAGCTCGTCCTCGAGGAACTGGCCAGACTCCACGCAGCCTCGTACCTCCTCAAGGCCAAGATCCCAGACCTTGCCGACAAGTACCCAGTCCTGAGTCTGGATTGGCTCAACTATGCCGATGAAGCAAGAGATGTTATGTTTAAGACATTTTCCAAGCAGATGGACATAGTTAAAGATGTGCTGAATAAAGTGGGAGGGTACGAAGTGGCGGAGAACTGGCTCAGCAGAAACAAGGAGAGAGTGTTAGAGATGCTGGATGAGCAGCTCGCTAGGGTTCCTCCCTTCGACCTTCTGTGTCACGGTGACTGCTGGAATAATAACGTGCTCTTTAGGTACTTACAACGTACAGTTTTTGTTTTTGTTGTTTACAAAGGTTTAAGGGTACATATTCCTACAAACACACACACATCTACTGAATGCGTTATTGTTAATTCGTTTTATTTGTCAGGTACAATGAAGAAGAGGTTCCTGTCGAAGTAATGTTACTAGACCTGCAGTTGTGTCGCCAGGCCTCCCTCGCCACAGACCTCAACTACCTCTTCCACACAAGTCTAGAAGGCCATGTAAGGAAAACAAACCTGGAGTCGTTTCTAGACGTTTATTACTCGACTTTCCTCGGTGTCACAGAAGCGGGGAAAACTGTCATGCCCTTCTCTCGACACGAACTTCGTCAGGAGTACAAGAACCGCCTTCAATACAATTTGTTGCGGGTTATGCCAGTGACTATACTCGTTATCTGTGAAGGAGACATCAACAAGGAAAACCAGGACGGTTTCACTGATTCATTGAGAGATGTTTTAGATGATCTGGTTTCAACGTCACCTATATTGCGTCCTCGATTCCTAAGTATATTTGACGAAATGATTGAAAACAAAGTAATTGTATGAAGTATTGAAAAGTTCATTTTCCAAAAAAAAAAAAAAAAAAAAAAAAAAAAATGCTCGATATGTTTACTTTTATTCTACTTTTTCTTTCGAGGTTTTTATGACTAATGAATCTAATAATGAATGTAGTTTTCTTTGTGTATTCATTATCAGTTTATTACCATTACTGACATTACTGATTACTAATATTAATGCACATAGACTAGGAACCAGAAAATGTCGTTCGCTGCAGTGAAAATCAAGATTGTCCTTATATAATGCAAGTACATGCGTTGCAATTTTCTTTATCCTTCCATAGAATTCCAAGCAAGATCTTGTGGAATACTTTGTTTACTTCTTGATGATTTGGGAGAATGTGCACTATGAAGGCATTTGAAAGACTATGTTAACCAGACTATTTCATTTTTAAGTCACACTACTTGTACCTTTTGTCTTATAATTATCAATATCTAGTATAGCATATATATCATACTTTTAAAATTGCTCCCAAACAAATTGGCGAAAGGTCACTTGAAAAGATAAGTCATAATGTGCTAAATGAAAACGCTGTGATTAAAGAGGTCAATATGATATAAATTGCGATTATTATCATCTTTATTTTTTTGTTAATGCGCTTTTTTTTCTAATTTTTAATAGGAATTTTTTATAAGCCTGAAAAAGGGTAAGAGTAAAGTCACACATCCAGATGCATATGTATCTGTTCATGTTGTAGCTTTTTCTATATGGACATTATATAAACTGTGCCAGTCCATAGTGAAGTACAATATCCATTTCCTCCTACATAGTGAGACTAATTTGATTTACTTATTTATTTTATGCAGAAATTAAGGAAAATAAGTTCAAGGAGAAAACTCATTCAAAGTCACGTGTAGACTGCCATACTACGGCATAAAGCGCGTATTTATCTTTATTATTATTATTATCATTATTATCGCTCATTCTTGTCTACCTCCTAATCTTCACCACTATTCGAACAATACAACGACAACGAGACATTAAAGTATCAGAGATCCGTAAAGAAAAAGAAAAGAAGAAGGGAAAATATCTACATATTTATTGTTAAAGAGGTCTGTCCTGAAATGCAGTAGAAACCCACTTACAACGGGATAAGATACAAGATCACATACAAGATACTATATACAAGATCATGACTACACAAGAGATTACTGTAGTCCACTCTGCAATATTCACACTTATACTAATACTCCACAACCTTCTAAAAAGTACGCCGAGTATATATATATATATATATATATATATATATATATATATATATATATATATATATATATATATATATATGTTTACGCATATATATATATATATATATATATATATATATATATATATATATATATATATATATATATATATATATATACTGTATATGATATATATATATATGTATATATATATATATATATATATATATATATATATATATATATATATATATATATATATATATATATATTGTATATGATATATATATTATATATATATATATATATATATACATATACATATATATATATATATATATATATATATATATATATATATATATATATATATATACATATATATATATATATATATATATATATATATATATATATATATATATATATATACATATATATATATATATATATATATATATATATATATATATATATATATATATATATATATATATATTATATCATGGATATATACAGATATTCTTTTGAATTTTTAAACTATAACATCTAAGAAATTGACCAATATATCATTTAGAAAGAGAGAAGATTTGAGAAGAAGAGTAAGGAGGGAGAGGGAAGAAAGACAAAGGCCACGAGAGAATGAGAATGGGTGAGCGGAAGAGAAATAAGAGAAACGTGTAGTAGAATAAAAGAAGCTGAAAATTCATGCAAATAATGCAAAATGCAAAACAGTAAGCATGTACTTTTGCTCTTTAAACCACGTGAAATGCTGCCGCTTGATCAATGAAATATATACCACCTAAATGAGTTTACATAATGAAAGCAGTATTAACTTACTTTCCATTCAACATGTATAATAACGTACCGTTTGACCCTCAGTAAATAATAATCATGAAATAAAAAATCCTGTATTTAGCTTAATAGGATCTCAAGTAGTTTTATCCTCGAGCTATTGGCATCCCTCACCGGTGGGCTTTCAAGGGGTTTACAACAGGGATAGTATTTCAAAGTGTTATTAATAAGTTTCATTTCATTCTATGAACAGTGTCTAATCAACATATCTTAACACATTACCGATTTTTGCGATACTCGCTTCATTATGCTCTTTGAGTGTGTGTGTGTGTGTGTGTGTGTGTGTGTGTGTGTGTGTGTGTGTGTGTGTGTGTGTGTGTGTATGGGAGTCTGTAAGTTAGACTTGCTTAAATACGACGCCAAATGCAATATGAATATGCCGATACCATAAAACGGTCATATGAACAAAATCTTTAAGAAACACCAATTAAGTGTAAAAAATTAGGATAATTTAGGTAATGAAAGCATAAATATAAAAAAGGATAACTTGCATATTGCATCACTAGTCACGGATGACTTTACAGCGAAAAATCCGCACGCAATCCGTCAATTTGATGATAATTAGTTTATGATCATTGGTGGAAAATTAACAATCAGAGCCCAGGCATCATAGGAAATGCTACGACACTTCCCTGACGCACTAAACCTCGATTTCACAACATTGGACGAAGTGAACAAGAGGATCGGAGAAATGAAACCTTCCCGACCTGGGCGTGATAACAGACAGTAACTAGACGGGAGCTGCCTCGCGTATATCGCCAAGTTCGTGAAGAAAAGAAGGCCGATTACATGAAAAAAAAAATCCTTGTATTTAGCTTAATGTGTGTGTGTGTGTGTGTGTGTGTGTGTGTGTGTGCGCGTGCGTGCGTGCGCAGAGACGAGTTTCATGAGATGTTTACATTCGCTCATGTGTTTCAAGAGGGTTGCGAATAAATGCTTATCGGATGTGCATATCTAAAATATGCGGTTTTATTATATAGATGTATGTTTTCTTATAAGCTCTTACTTTATTTTTCAACAAAGTGGATCGTGTCATATTATGGGAGTCTGTAAGTTAGACTTGCTTAAATACGACGCCAAATGCAATATGAATATGCCGATACCATAAAACGGTCATATGAACAAAATCTTTAAGAAACACCAATTAAGTGTAAAAAATTAGGATAATCTAGGTAATGAAAGCATAAATATAAAAAAGGATAACTTGCATATTGCATCACTAGTCACGGATGACTTTACAGCGAAAAATCCGCACGCAATCCGTCAATTTGATGATAATTAGTTTATGATCATTGGTGGAAAATTAACAATCAGAGCCCTAGGCATCATAGGAAATGCTACGACACTTCCCTGACGCACTAAACCTCGATTTCCCAACATTGGACGAAGTGAACAAGAGGATCGGAGAAATGAAACCTTCCCGACCTGGGCGTGATAACAGACAGTAACTAGACGGGAGCTGCCTCGCGTATATCGCCAAGTTCGTGAAGAAAAGAAGGCCGATTTACATGGAAGAAAAAATGTTTTCTGCCTCAATCTGACATTTCGGTAGTGATTGCTGTGCCCCGATTAGTGTGATTTTGTACCGACCAGCTTAGCCTCTAAAGAAGGTATGAAGGTTATCAATGAAGACATCCATTAGGACAACCTTAAATTCAAAATGTGAAAAAAAACATTTATAAGTACCTGAAGAGCATGTTATTGTTCCAGCAGTCACCGTGGCACAGCACGTCAAAAAGCGGGACTCTTTTGGAAATGGTGCCCAGTATCTCTAAAACTCTACCTTTGTTTCTGCTGAGCCAGTTCTCCGCCACTTCGTACCCTCCCACTTTATTCAGCATATCTTTAACTGTGTCCATCTGCTTAGAAAATGTCCTATGCATTACATCCCTTGCGTCATCAGCATAGTTCAACCAATCCAGATTCATGACTGGGTACTTCTCGGCAAGGTCTGGGATCTTGGCCTTGAGGAGGTACGAGGCTGCGTGGAGTCTGGCTAGTCCCTCGAGGACGAGCTTGGTGTAGGCGACGCCCATGCCTTTCTCGCGATCGATCATCTTAAATCCTCTAAGCCGAAGGAAGACAACTTCTTGAAGGAAGTGTGGAAAACCGAGGAACCCTTAGAGGAGTTTGGCCAGCTTCTTGTAACTGTGATGCTGCACCAGATATTGGTAAAAAAGTGTTTCCTTTCTAAACATGACTCAAGCAAATGCTTTAAAAGATCAGGGGTTGTACTTCACCACATAAAAAGCCTTGTGGTCTGTTTCACAGAGCGTGTAATTCACGCGTTGCGTAGTTGTCTCTTTTCTTGGACCGCGGAGGAAACGAGACGAGCGTCGCTTCCCTTGTCGTTCTTGAGTGCCGCCTCGACAATCTTCTATGTGATCTTGCTTGGACGAATATCAGCTGCTGCATCGTTGGTCTCCACTGGAAGATTGGGATAAGGATAATAGCTGAATATGTAAAAGGTAATGGCCAACGTGATCTCTTATGAAAAGAGATCACGTTGGTCACCTGGAAGAGACCTTCCAGGTGACCAACACCCCCTCCTCGAGCGAGCCCTGCGAATTACCTCCTTATCACGGCCGGATAAATTTGACACTCCAGTCTGCGGAAGCAAGTATCACCCAGGAAGGAGCCGCTGAATAAAAGGGGACATTCGTCATACCTCGGCAGAAGGAGTCTTGTTTGCATCCACTCGCCTTGAAGCGAATAAAGCCGATAGTTAAGGCCACTTTCACTATCCGCCTTAAGGCCATCTCTCGTGTCGTTCACACACACACCTGTGTCTGTGTGTATATGTTTGTGTGTATATGGATATATATGTGTGTGTATGTATATATACACACACCTACACACACACACACACACAACATATGTATATTTGCTCATACATACACATATGTGTACTATATGTATATATATATATATATATATATATATATATATATATATATATATATATATATATACATATATGTGTATATATATATATATATATATATATATATATATATATATATATATATATATATATATATGGTATATAAATGTGTATATATATATATATATATATATATATATATATATATATATATATATATATATATACATATATATATATATATAT